ACATCATTTTTGGTGAGTAAATATATGATTTCAATTTATTCACGTAGGAGAACATAAATCAACTTTCATATTCCAAAATGAACAATTGGATCCCACTCCAATTTAGCTCAAAAGTCATTCATAAACCCATTTTTCCAACAAAAAAAAAAAAACTATCTTTTTAACCATTTCTAATGAAAAGATCCCTTGTGAAACTATTTATCATCATTCATCAACACCACTAGATTTTACGTCAAGATGTTAGATTTCATTGAAGAATGCATATTGAAACAAGAGAATAATGAATATTGTATCTTAAAAAAAATATTAATTTTAATATGTGATTGAAAATAAAATAGAAAAAATATATCTTGAAAATAAAGAGATCAAACAAAATGTAAAATTAATTAATATAAATATGGATCAAAGTCTCGTCCAATAATACAAAGGCTGTAAAACATGTAAAAGAAAGAAGGAAAAAAAAAAAAAAAAATCACGCGAAAGAACAGCCCGGCCCTAACTTGAGAACAAACTCAATTCGGGCTAATCACTTTCCAAAAACACTTGCACACAAAAATACGAAGCAAAAGCTGATATTTACACAAACATATCCCTTACTGGAATATATCGTAAAATAAAATGCAAAGGCCGGCCCGAATTACGCCCCTAACCCAGTTTGGACGTGAGTTTTTGTGATTCCTGCGAGAGTAGCTACATGATATTGTGATTTGTACTTCTGATTAGAGCCGTCTGGTGCAATCACTGGAGGTTCATTTAGAAATGCAGAGTTGCTACTGATCCACCTGGAAAAAAAAATTGAAATCAACAAAAGAATAAGAAAACTATATTTTTATTCATACAAAACCGTAAAATTCAGTCAAGGATAGGCGGACATGTTCGAAAGATAAGACTGATAAACTCTTCTTTGATCTTGTGACTCAGATAAGGTTTTGATACCGATTCGTACTGATATATGCGACAATCTAGACTGATCAAAGTCAAAGGCTTTGCCCATGAATATATCCTATCATGTCCGATCTTCTTTGATCTTATCGATCGGTTAAGGTTTCGATACCAACTCATACTGACATGTTCAACGACTGCACAGATCGAATTTACTATTCTTCTTATTAATATCAAGATGAGTTAATGTACCAAATTCGTTGTATCAATGTATTAACAAAAGGCAAGTGTATGAAAAGAATAATATTATTCGCATTCGCTCACTACATAGACGACGGTCTGTTTACTTGAAAAGCACAAAAATAGAAATAATTAATACGGCATAATTGTTCATACCAGCCATTCTTTTGTAATAGTTTATCTAGACTTGTTTCACTTTCCAAGAAATTCTCTTTAATTTGTTCCTGCATAAATGCACATGTTTGAATAAGCTTCAAAAGATTACTTATGAATCAAATTTGAAATATATAAATTACTTATTTTAT